GTTAGCTCTCAAGTATGTATGTGTGCCAGTTTGTGTGTGTGTGTGTGTGTGTGTGCGTGTGACACACAATGCCGCTTGTGTGCGAGGTGCGAAAATGTGACGTAAGCAACAGCAGCGACCATTAAATTGGGTTATCACCAAAAACGTAAAAAATGATGAAAAAAATTAAATAAAAATGTCCTATCTCAGAGATGAGAGACTAGGAGATGCCCTCCATAAGAAATGCTTAGACATGTAGTACGAAAACAGAGATAGTCAACTTGAAATACCCTTTACTCCATTCTAAGGCAGTCTTGGACTATACTAACAGCTACTTTTACCAATCAGAAACAATTTTTTTGTTATGTATATTTGCTATATTGTTAAGGCTAAGGCTAGCAATTGCTAAAATTATTGCTTATGCATTTTTGTATAGTCCATAAAAGTGGCATGGTAATGGTTTATATAACGCATACGCGTATCAGCATCTGTAGTCTTCAAGGTTGGCAGCTTTTTGAGGTGTAGTCTTCAAGGTTGGCAGCTTTTTGAGGTGGAACCAATGGAAATTGGTCATACTTTTTGGCTGTTAACATTGGCTCAGTAATTTATATACTTTATACAGGATTATTAACTTTATGTTGCTCCTTTCACCCATTTTTATGGCTACAGGGTATACGGCAAAAAACAGCAAAAATATATAAACATATATATGTAGATGGTTTATACGCGAGAATGGTTTATTTTCTGCTTGGGATTTTTTTCTTATTTTTTGTTTCTGGCTGCTGCTGCATGCCGCCACAGGGGAAATGAGATTTGCGCCTCTGAGTATGCGTTGTGTCAGTTTCGAAATAAGTACGTGGGAATTCGGACATCCAGTGCCAGTGGCAGCTGTGCACGGGAGGGAAGGAGCAACCTTTGTGGTCGCAAAGGGACAGCAACTCACTAACACACAGACTCACACTCTCTTATTCAAAACCACAAAGCAGGCAACAAATAAACAAACCAAATGCCAGCTACTGAATTTGAAGTCGAATCGTGAACTGGCAACTTTTTCAACTTGAGTCTATAAAACGTTTTGCAATAAGTTTTTATTGCTCGTTTAATTGTGAGCTGGCAAAGCATTTCAGCAATGGTGTAAAATATGACAGTTATAGTCTATCTAAATTAATAATTAAGCATACAATTCTTGCCAATTAAAACATCTTTATAAAAATAGTTTTTATGAATAACGCTGTAACCCAACTGATAGCCTTAAAGCATCATAAAGAAAACTGTGCAGCTAACACAGATATCAAATTTGGATACTATAGTTAAGTATTTATATGTAGCTACGAAACACTAAATTAAAACTCCTCATACGATATACGTATAAGCCTTAGGCAGCTGAGTCATCATAACTGGCTAGCTACTATTTAAGTCAGATGATATATCTTTATTGTTTATTCTCTGAAATGTCTCAAGCTAAATACATAATTGCTCAATTCATGGTTATGCCCAAGAAAATAATTAGGACCGTCTTTAAATTGTCTAAGCATTTTGGCTATTGTTCAAGAACTGTGAACTTAATTACTGTAAACTAAAGTGGAGAGCATTTGAAGACGGCCCGAGGATCCACTTGAAGACGCTTTTTATGCGCTCCATATATATACTTATATATAGAATGTGAAGGCTGTGTGTCCATTTGGGCTATGAGTTTTAGCAATTCCCTTTAGCTGACAAAGTCATCAAAATTTCACAGCCACTTGGGAAGGCAGAAAAGCGCAAAATTTTTATTGCTTTTTCATTAGGCGACGTCGTTGACGGTTCGACTCGCCTCGTGTCTTGGCTCTCTGGTCAACAATGGTCACTAGTTGGACAGGGCTAAAAAGTGTAGAAAATCAGCCTGGCAATTGACGCCTGGGACACACGCAAACATCTTAGCTACGAGGTATGTGGGCGGGGCTGGGGTAGGAGCGATAGTCTTTAGGGACTCCGTGATATTGAAGGACAGCAAGCTAGGAATTGGTTCCGTTTCAACAGCACGATTGAACAGCTGTGCTCAAAATCTAAAATGTAAAAGAAAAGAAAATGTAAAAGCTGATAACGTGAAAATATTTAAGAGCTGCAGTGGACTGCTATTAATTAAACGTTTGATAAGCACGCAGAAATTCTTCGAAAGTCAGTAAGACCTAATGCAAACAAAAGTATATGAGTGCTTAGACCAAGCAAGTGTATACGGAAATGGCCACATGCATAACAGGGTATTAACAGTGCGGACCAGGTCCAATAAATACCCGCAGCATTGAACAGGCGAAGGAAGGAGCACGCGAAAAACTTAATGAACTACATGAAAAGCGGACGCGACTGATTGTTGCTATGCTTTCTATTTGTGTGTGTGAGAGTATGTGTGTGTGTGTGTGTGAGTGTGTGTGTGTGTGTGTGAGTGCGTATGTATGTATGCTAACTAAGCGCCGCGCCATTGGGAGTTTGTTGCTGGCGCTCAAGTATGCTTAGAAAATCTCCAGAGCACGTTTCCGGAAATAAATAAATAAAATCCAAAAGAGGAGTCAAGGCGAACCGAGGCGCTGACCAAGCTGACAAGCTACATTTTACGGGCAGGGCGCGAGGCAGAGGGTGGGCTTTTTCTTTTGGTAGAGCAGCTCAAATAAAATAAAAGGCAAACAAACGAGCTTTGCATAGAAATTGACGTGTCTGACCAAAAAAAGAAAAAAAAAGAAGTAAAATGCTACAAGGATAACAGCAGCGAGGCAACATTAATTCCCGTAAAATTTTAATGCTACAAAATTATTTTGGCAAAATAAATGAAGCATCCACAAGTGCTGTTGCCACAAATAAATTTTAGTTGTGGGCGTAGGTTTCAATCGCCATCTCCCTCTCCCCCTTTCCTTTGCTTCATCCCCTTCTGTGTTACATCTGCATGCACCTGATTTATAATTTAATATTAATTAAAATGTGGCAGCAGCAGTAGCAGCAACATCTTGAATTTGACTATGCTTCGAAATTTGAGACTAACCTACATAGTTTTTGAGTCTTCTACTTGTAAATACTACCCCAAACCAGCATCTGATGATAAATTTAGATAGCTTCTGGCCAAGTCAACGAACCGAGCTGAGTCAATAATTTTATTGCAAAGGCATTAAAATTTTAAATGTGGTCTCCATCCCGTATACTACGGCTCTTTCTATCTCTCTCTCTCTCTCTTTCTTTCTCTCTCTGTCTCATCTGTCTTCATTCTTCATTATATTCAGTGTATGTCTGTCTGGTGCACCTCTGCGCCAGCGGCAACTTTGTGCCTGTGGATTTTACGTCGTCAACAGCCATGCGGCATTTTCTGTTGTTGTTGCTTCAAGTCCCTTGCCACCATCCCTGACCCACCACTCCCCCTTTCCCATCTCCACTTTCTTGCTGTTGTTGTTGACTGCGCCAAAAACTTTGCCACTGGGAGTTTTTGCCGGGCATCTCGGCTTTTACGACGTTGCTGCTGCTTCTGCCTTTGTGTTATCACCACACGCAAAAATGTAGAAGTATATATGTGCCTGAGTGTGTGTGTGTGTGCGTGTGTTTCTGAGTGTGTATGTCTGCATTAACGAAACTCAATTTCAACTTTTCACTCTGTTCATGTGGAAAACTTGCCATCAGCCTCAAGTCTGGGGCCAAAAAAAATAAGAAAAAAAGCGCAAAAATAAGAGCAAAACCTAGAGAGACAATCATTATGCCCTATAATAAATTTTTATGAAGGTATATGCCCAAATGGAAGGAAACCTCATAATATTTAAACAAATTTCTTGAAAAGAATTTTAATTTGTTTGTTGTGCATAATTTATTTAATATTTCTTGATAAAGAAGCCAGACATTTTGCTAAATTAATTGCCAAAAATAATGCTTTGTTTCGACAAAATCTCTTAATTGCTTTTCCTATAATTCTCAACGAAACTCTAAAAGATATTTTACAGCCATTGACAAGGTGAAGAGACCAATTTAATTTTAGGCCAAATACTTCTTACTCTGATGCTGATAGTTTTATGTACAGAGTATTCGCTTAGTTTGAAAATGCATCTGGCATTCAGTTTGGGTTTTGGCCAGGAAGTGTACTCAAAAATAGATGTAGAAATCTCAGTATGCATAAATCAGTTTTATAGCTATGCAAAATAAACACAATGTACAATTAAATACGCTGGACACGGCTCAAAGTGCAAGGAGGGAAGCGCACGGGACTAAAGTTGGCAAAGAGCATGGCCAACATGGTGTAATTTATGTAGCTAGCGACAAAGCCAAAACACTGAGCAAGACCTTAAAATATATAAAGTCGCAATGAGAGAGCTGCCAGAGCCGGCATCAGTTGGCCGGAAACCGGAAACAGGAAGCCGCCGTAAAGACCAACATTTTTCATGGTTGGTCTGGCCTCAAATGCAAACGTGTGCAGTCTGCAATTGGGCGTTGCCGCAAATCGTTCTCTCTCTCTCTCTCTCTCTCTCTCTCTCTCTAATTAGATTGGGCGAGCCAACTTTTCTTTTTCTTTTTTGGCAACTCATCGATAAATCAATGTGTTAAGTTCCTGTTAAGATGCTGCAACAGTAATCGCAAGCCGCGTCGACAGCTGATTGATGATCCACGAAATTACAAATTACACAAATGTTATGCGAATTGGCAGATAAAAATCGAGCAACTGCCGCTCACCAAATCACTTAAGCGTAACACCTTATTTGCTTTGGCCGCCCCTTTCTCTCGGGCCAAATGAATTAGCCCAATACGAATTTGATTGATTGTTGCCATCAACCATATACATATATATATATATAGAGGTGCTACCGTCACCGAAATGCTGTAAAAGCAGCCAACTGTAGGAATCTTTCGATATTGTTCAATTTGCTACAATTTAAAATTGATACTCTGGGTATAATAAACAAGTTGGTCTCAAGTTCTTAAGCAATAATTAGAGTAGAGTTTAGTTAACTATACTGACCGTATGGTATGTATTTTTATACAACTCCACTAACTCTTTTTATATAACTCTTAATTTTTTGCAACTCTTGTTTATATTTCTTTTTGCGCTTACGCTTACATTTCTTTCAAGGAAAGTTCATTACTAAGTTCCCTCGAAATTATGTGGATCAATTTCGAAACGCTTAAAACGCTCCGAGAATTGGCCAAAGAAAAATGCCTCTAACTGCAGCATTTTAAACTTGCGATATTCGACTTCGGAGTCGTGGCGTGAATTGTAAGCGCAGATGCATTGATTGGGCAAAGTTTCAATATATTTGCTCAGTTCTGGCGCGTCCATGTCACAGGGCGCGTGTATAATATCCAAATCCTCCGGTGCCGGCGGGCAATGCGCCTCCCTGCGCCTCTTGATGTGCAACACAACGCCATCATTATCAGTGGTGCTCTCTGGTATCGAACCAATTGATGCATTTGAAACCAATGACACTACCCTGTTCACCCTCGAAGAAACCGTGGATGCATTTGAAATCCATGACACCGTACTGCTCGCCGTTGACTCGGAGAGATGGATTGGAGATGCTATAGATCTGGCCCAGTTAACGGGCAATCGATTCTGCGACAGATTCTTGTTAGAGACAGTGAAGAAAGTAATTGAATTAAGTATGCTTACCACTGCAATGATGGTGGCAACCATTAATAATAACGATTTAAGCTTAAACTGCATTATGTGAATAAATATTTATTTTTATTTGTATATTAGTATATTAGTATATTTTTGTCTGTCTGTGCTTACCGAATGTGGAGAAAAAGTATACTAAGCTTTAATTTCGAAGCTGTGTGCTTTAACATGTGCTACCAGAGAACAAAGTTCGTTTCCGATTGCTCCATAAAATGTGTGCACGCTTGCAAATTATGACCAACATGTGCGAAATTGATAACCCAACAGTTTTCACACGCATACAAAGACAAACAAACACTCACGCACATAACTCGATACAGCATCAATTACACACGCCATGTGGTCAAACAGCGACGCTGGGAGACTCGAGCCTGAGGTGAGTGCCTTTAGTTGGCAGTGCTTGACGAGCAGTTACCCTATCTGTTGTTTGTGGCATATAAAGCCAGTAAGTTAAAGGGCAAAATAACAGTATATCTATATTATTATGAGTACATAGCTCATGCTAAATTATGTGTTTGGATATGTTTTGACAGAGCTATGGTTGTGAAAACTCTGTCACAAAATGTAGTAAACCAGAACCCTTATACATATCGAACTAAAAGGTCACGGGGTCTAATCATCTCGCTTATACAGCCAGCTCATGGCGACTGAGACAGAGCTCATGTGTACTGAAACTGCTTGGAAAAGTATTTTTGGCCATTGAATACACATTCACAACATTATCATATCCCTTTCAATACACATTGTTTAATTGCTACAGAGTATTAAATTGCTCCAACTGGATCCTGGAAAAGGGGGGTTCTAACAGAAAGTGCAATGACAGCGACAGCGGATACTAGGATATTAGAAAAGCCACATGAGCAGGAGCAAGTAAAGTGACAGCCAAGGGAAACACCCACACACACACACACTCAGTCACACACACCACACACATGTACATAATGGGTAGCATTCATAATGACCAACACTTTGCGGATCGATATGGGGCATTTCAAGTGTGAAAATAATATGACAGCAGTAATCAAGGCGACAAGGCGGGATGACTAACTCTTCTTCCTCTTTTTCCTAACTCTCCTCCTCTCCCCCTGCCACCCACGCCGCTATTGATATTGATTCCAGTCGCGGTAAAATGCTCGCATCGCCAAAGTAAGCGAGCTGAATGAATCGAAAGGCAACAGGAAATGGGCCAAAATATCTGTGCGGAAATGTTCAGAGAGAGCATTTGCAATGGCTGCCAGCCTGCAGCCATTCTGCCTGGTTTTGGCTGGTTTGGTTGGGCTGCGTTGACTAGGCTGTTAACACATGTCGCTGGAGCCCATAATTGCAAGGCATACATAGTAGATGGAGAGCGATGTGAGCTAGAGACGAGTTGGGAATGAATGACAATTGTTTTGACACTCCTGACATCTGGCGGTGGCTGAGTGGTTTGGCGGAGGACCGCTGTCAAAACCAGACAACAGCTGCCAGGACATAGACAGACATACAGAAGCAGAGTCACCAACCACAGTCCACATGCATAAGTAAGCTGATAGAATTCACACACACACTCACACACAAACACAAATACACTTACATTGAAGCAAATTGAATTTTTCATGCTGCGTAGTTGCCATAGAATTTATGTGAAAATTATTTTGTAGTATGTATTGCGTAGCGTTAAAATATAACTTCATAAGGGAAAGAGTTTTCAATTAGGCAATATACGCGTTTGTGTATTATGTGTGTGGGGCAGACATTCCAAGCACGTTGCATACTCGGTAAGTGAGTTAACAGTTAATTTCGCATTCAATTAAGCTAAACGCAGTGCATGACAGCCCCAAAGGCATCAGAAGCACCATCCACCAACGTTTAGCCACTTAAATTAACAACGTGTGGTATGCAGCGAAGTGCGCTGCTCGATTATGCCCAAAGCATCTAGTAAATCTCTTTAGTTGACTGCTTTGGTAAAAGCCCAACCATTGATTAATAATCTAGACAAAAGCCAAAGTCAACGTTTTTCTCACTAAGCTGCTACATTCCACATCGTGGCTGCTACTCTGCCTGACTGCCTGACTGCCTTGCTATGCCTAAAGCTGCTCAGATAGCACATAATTCGCCTGCGGCAGCAAATTTGTTGCAGCTGCAAGTGGCGACCTCTTTACCTTCCCTCAGCAATTTTATATCTGCAACTGAACGCTGTTGTGCCCATAGCCCACACTTTGGTTGTGGGTTCTATACCCTGTAGCCACACACTGAAAGCTGGTTACCTGATTTAAGCTATATATATAAATATATATATGTATATATAATTATTATATTATATTAGCTTAGCATTTTCTGAGGATGATTAGTTAACACATTATTTCGTTTTTTTTTTTGCCTTCCGTAAACTACGCAATGTGAATTAAACTAAAAAATTAGAGTCTTCATATTACGTATACATATATTTTTAACATATCCCGATTTTAAGAGAAGCAATCTCATATATCCTAGTCCCATGTGTAACGTCGTGATATTTTTCTTAAATATATATTATGTAAATCGGCTTTAGACTTGGGTATCTGGCAGATGCGCATACTCCTTCCTCATTTAATTGTTGTTGTTTTTTAATTTTTTATATTTTTGTTATTGTTGTTGATGTCGTAGTTGTATTTCACTTTGTTAAGCTTTTTTTGCACGAGGCGAACCTTTTGTTTATTTGCGCCCCAGTGGATCACAAAAAACTGAAATAGCAGTAAAGCAGGACCGGGCCAGGACACAGGATGCGGGAGGTGAAACATTGGACGTATACGTAAACGCGGACGTAAGCACTCTGGCACAAAGGCGATGGCAGCCAACAACAATGTTTATGTTCTGCCGGCTGTGTGTGTTTGAGAGGGATGAAGCGAGAGAGAGGGAGAGTGAGAGAGAGTGAGAGGGAAAGAGAAAGAGAGGAGAAAAGAGGTTGCAAGATTGCACGTATGTGCAGTTATAAATTGCAAGTCGTGCGCAACGTTTGCCAGTCACAGCAAACCTAGATGGCGTCAAAATGAGAGCGCAGTTTTGGCCAAGAATAGTTTTTTGGGGTTGGGTTTGAATAGTTGGTTAGTTGGGTTAGTTGGGTTAGTTGCATTACATACGTTGTGAGGCAAAGCCACAGCCAAACCTGCAACGAGGTCGAGCTGCAGGTGATGCATCCTGCGGCTGTCGTAAGTATGGGTACGTCTCTGTGTGTGTGGGCTTGAGTGTGGCAAGTAAAGGGCGGAAAATTGTTGCTGTAATAGAATTAACAAAACAAAATAAAAGCTGGGCACAATTAAATATTTTCGCGGCAAGCCATGACAAACAATGTGGCAGCAGCTGTTGTTGCATTTCTTGTTGCTAGTTTCGTAATACTGTAAATTGAAATTCTGCAATACGCATTGAAAATCTCTAAAATCCGACATTGGCAACGGGGCATAAAGTAGCATTAGCATTGTCCAGCGCAACAAATTTTAAACAATTGCGAATTTCAACAATTTTAAATGTAACGAGGCTAGCCAAATTGCAACTGCGGTTCACTGCATTTATTTTAATTTTGCATTTTGTATGGCGCATTTGCATCTGGCTGGTGGGCGTTACAGCAGAACCAACTCATCCACAAACTCCATTTGAATTGCTTCAATAAATAACAGCCAGAGATTGTTAAATAAAAATATTAAGTGCTCTATTTTGATTTTTATTTACCCCAAAGAAGCAAAAGAAGAGCGCTGCTAAAGAGAAGGTCAGTAAATATATTCCAAGCACCCGCATCGACACATTAAATATATATATATATTTTTAAAAAAATAGTGCAATTAGTCAAGCGTGTTTTTTAAAAATACCTGAAAGTCATTAACTTTAAAAAAAGGTTTTAAACGTTAAAAACTACGGGAATCATGACTGTTCGAAGTTTAAAATTATTAAGCGCTTCCGACGGCATGATTTCCTCTGTGAATATATGTAACATATTTTTATATCTATGAATCTAAAAATAAATGTGCCATTGAATCAATTTCCCGATTGTAAATTTTATTAAAATGCAAAAATATTTTCACAGAAGGAGATATTTATTAATCTGTTAAATGCGTATTTTATTGAATACATAATAAATGTATGTGTCAGCCTTCAAGTATTCATTTATCAAGAAGTTTTTGGCAGGCCATAAATCATGGTCTCAACACATTTATTATACAAATTCGTGTTGCCTGAAATACAATAAGAACACACCATGAAATCAATAAAATTTGTGAACAGCGATTTTAAGCCAACTAAAGCATCATTTTAATCAGTCTACTTTACCAAACGGATGGCAAATACAATTATTTGCCTTAATTATGGTATATTTTTTGCTGAGATGCTGACATTCCATCAGCCTGGCAAATTGTCAGCCCCATTGATGCTGTCACATTCGTGTGACAAATGCGCGCTTGCCATAATCGGATGCGAGGCGTAACTGGTACTTTTTTATATTTGTAAGTATACCCTCTGCACATTTAATGAGCTTTATGGAGTGTATGTGGGTTGCAAAAGAATACCCATTTTTTTTAGTTTGTTAAGGTTGGATATAAACCAAAATTGAGCAGCTTGTGTGTTGCTATTGACAAGAAATATTACATCTTGTGGCATAACATCATTTATTTAATTTTCCCCCTCTGTTGCTCCTGGATTCTTCATTAACAAAAAATTTCATTTAATGGCCTAACAAAATATTATTTTATTTTTCTTGTACCATTTTTTACTTTACTATATTAATAGGCTATTAAGTAGGTTAGTATTTCAGACATCTCTTGTGCTTCTTTTCCAGCCGCAAAAACAATTCCTTGGATAACTGCGAGCATTTTCTGAAATTATTTTTATTTTTAAAGCAAAGAGGATAAAAAGGATTGCCTTTTCTTCTTTAGCAAGCGTAATTTTGATTCCTTCTCTCATTAAAGGTTCGTTCTCCTATAACTCGGATTTTAGTTTTAAGTAAAAGTTACAGAGTCTCAGAAAGCGGCTTAAGAAGAATGTATTTGAATGATGGAAAAAAAGCTTATACAGGAAAAATCTTTTTTAATTGACTGTCCCAGTTCTTCAAACTAGTTAGAGGGTATTCGCCAAGCAAATAATGCTTATTTAAGCCATTTTTTCTTAGCTTTTTGCTCTGGTTTGGAACCTTAATCTGGCAGGCAAGGCGAAACCGACCCCGATGCGTATACGAAACCCTTCCACTGGCTCTGGCCAAACAACTGTCAACAGCTTTGTAATTAGTTGCCTGCCTTTTTGAGTTTGTTGTTGGTGCTTTTTCGCTCCATGGTCACCATCGCTCTTATGTTGTTTCTCGGTGCTGTCGCTTCTTCTCGCTGCTAATGTCAACGCTAGATTGATGGCGCTTCATTTTTTTAGCTGGCGCTGCCACGCGAGATGGACAAATGCTGACCATCATTTTGAGCTGACACGCAGCCGGGAGGAGTCACATTGCGTGTACATAAGCTTTAATTAGCCAAGTGCCGTTAATTCTGTGGAAATGTGAATTTGCCAAATGCGAGAATGTGAAAGTCGCCCCACAGGGGATATCGCACATTCAAATATTATTGTGAATTTGAATTAAGTTTGTTGCATTAGCAAAGTTGCAAAGCCGCAGCAAATCCGGGTTAGGGTAGCCCTTGGGCGATCAAATATGCCATCCGATTGCTATAACGTCGACTAAATATTCAATTGAAATCCATATTGAAATAAATATAAGCGCTTCCTTGTTGTACATTGTATGTATTCAACCCTTCCATTGCTGTTTACAGAAAAGTTGCTGCCTAACAAAAAACAAGAAAAGAATTACCATATTTTCACGCGCAGCGTGACAAACGCAATAAACACAATGTGAGACATTTAAAATTGAAATGTGTCACATCATATTGATTGATTATAAAATACCCTCGATTAAACCTTATATGGTATTGAGTACATCTTTTATTTATTTTATTGTATACTTAAGGGAGTATTCATAAATAGTAATAATCAATCACTTTGTGATTGTATAAACTTATATATTTTATTTATTCTATATAAATTCAATAAATTTGTAATTGTATAAACTTATAGCCCATTGTCGACCGAGTACAGGGTATATAAAGAGAGCTTTATTCAGCGAAGCGTTGTCTGAATCCGAAAAGAGGTAAAAATTTAACGGAATTGCAAATGCTGTTGACACTTGCACAACGCAAAACAATTGTCGAAAATCGGCTGGTCTCTCACCCCGTACAAGCTCTAGCTGTCTCCCCATCTCTCTCTGGCGCGCCCACTCTATCTCTGTCCCTCTCTCTGTCTGACACTCACTCGTTACTATTGAGCTGGAATTTCATCCATTTTGGCTTGGCTTGGGTTTGTATGTACATATGTATTTATGAATGCTGGCTGCTGTTGCATTCGATAGTTTTTTTTTGGCAGTGTTCGTGTTTGAATAGTTTTTGGCAAAACTTGATTGCCTTTTGGCTTTCGGCAGAGCAAAGTCAACCTGGCGCACCTAACTAGACAGCCAGTGGGGACAATCTCAGCCAATAGCACTTTTGCGTAATCAGTGAAAAATTCGGTGTTGCCATAAGTTCAGAACTAGTTTTCATTTCGACCAGTTATCACTGATATGCCGCTGACCACGCCCACAAATTAGCCGAGCTGTAGCTGAGTGTCACATGTGTGAGACTCATAAATCATATTTAGCTTTGCGGCGCCGACGAGCATTCAATCAAAGTGCAGCAAATCCCTCAAATTTGTTATTCGTCACGTACCAGAGTCCAGTCGCAGATGTTTGCGTGTGTGTGCATCTGTGGCTGTGTGTGTGTGTGTGTGTGTGTGTATGTGTGTGTGTGTGCATGTGTTATTGTGTATGAGTTTCATTAGCATTGGACCTTAAAGTAGACGAGCCTAAAAGATAATATACATATTAACATATATGCTCTTAGTATATATATATTAATGCCAAATAATACGTAGTGCGTCTGACTGAGGGCTTGTGTATGCTTATGGAAGTAATCGGTAATAGTAATCGTTATCGGAATTGAAATCGAAAGCGTTGCGTTCGCAGCCACATTTGCTAGGTTATCAACTTTACACTCAACTGAATATATTTGGGACATTTCGGGTATTTTTGGGCTGGCACGGCTTATTAAATATTAAATTGATAAGGCTCCCGAGCGGCGCCCGAACAGCAAGGACAGCCAGGACAACCAGGACAGTTTCTTTTTAACTTTTTATTTTAACAGGGGGAGGTTGCGGTATGGGGGAGGGAGAGCAGAAGGGGGGTGGGGATGGGGACTTTTGGGGTTTGGTATCTATAAGTAGCATTTGTTGCCTATTTCTCTTGCTCTTGCCATTTTGTGTTTTTGCCTAAGCGGCTTTCGGCCACATTTGAGTGTGGTACGACCCACAACAGTGCCCCTCCCTTATCGCCCTACGAATCCCCGTTGATAAAATGCTCTTGTATGCTAATATTGCGGGCATATTTTTCATGTCGCAATCATTTTGTGTGCCGCTTTTTTTTGTCTCCTTTTTTTTATATTTTTCATTGCTGCTGTTGCTGATGCTGATGCTGGCATTGCTTAAGCGTTGATTGCAAGCATTTACATAATTTAAGATTGTTCTGTTCACTCGACACTCGACACTCAACGCGCACACAGAAACACACACACTCTCAGTCTGACTCTCTCACACAAAGAATCACACTCACACATTCAGAATTTTAGCATTGTTTCTTCATCCCCCTCTCCGGCGGCGCATTAAAATGAAAATTCCAAGCTCAGTCGACGTTCTCGTTCCAGATTAACATATTTCTTTGAAGCACTGCTAAATTATTAAGGATATAAATAGCAGCACTGCTAGTGGAACTATACCAAGTACCCATTAAATGAGTATAATGGATATGCACAGAAGTTAGATATATAAAATTCGCTGGAAACGTTCTCCACCATGCCACAGGCAGATGTTGTAAAGATATTATAGAGCTTACAATTTTATTGAAATAGTGCAATGTGGTTAGTCCACATCATACAACTTACACTTTCCGCCACACTATGTAGATAAATTTGTGAAAAAAGGGGCAACTGCCAGTCGAGCCTATTAAGCTTGAGTATTTTTATTTGTTGCAGCTATTTTGTCCTTGGGTGTCGCTTTTGCTAATATTGAAGCAAAATAGAAAGTTTCTCATTTCCATTTCAATTTCTCGTTGCAGTTCGGCGGGCAGCCGGAGGAGCCACAGAGACGATAACGACGACGACAGGTAGTAGTAGGAGGAGTAGGAGGCGGCGGTAAGCATCCGGTGCTGTGGGCATGTCCACAGCCAAAAGACTGGTGCTCTCGCTACGTGGACGCAAGAACTCACAGGGCAATTCGGCCACATCGTCGACGCGTCTGGTATCCGCTGGCACCTCGCCCGGTCATGAGCTGGACGAAATAGCCGTTGTCTCCGGCACCGGCTCGACTAGCCATCATTTTACCTATGGCGGCTGCATTGGCAACAACAACGAGGCCAGCAGCGCCGCCGCGGCTGTGGCCCCTTACTCCACAGGTAGGCAATGCAACAAAATATACAGCCAACACACACACACACACACAGTCCACATTTTGCAACACCACCCACCTGCAGCTCCCTGACTGCCTCCAGGTAGAATCAAATGTTTAAATTACAATTTGTAGTCATCCTCAACCCTAATGCACAATGCAGCAAACCCACCATATCAAAACCCACAATCGGCAATTCGAACTTTGTTAACTGAAGACACCACCACCCCCTCACACCACTTGCCTCTTCTATGCATGCTGTTGCATTTGTTGTGTAGAAATTATTACTGACGCATCACTAACAGATACGCATATATATCTAAAGGTTAATGTGTATGGTATGTAAGTTGCGTAGTTGTACAACATTAATTTAAGAGCAGGAGAACGAGTCTCCATATCCATTACCGTTTGTCCTATGCTTAATCAAGTTTCAGGTCGAATTAAGTAACTCTACTTAATCATTGATTAATTCAGATTTCTATAAATTCGATTAGAGGTTATTCTTAGGTGACACTCTGGCGAATCGTGAGTAATTCTATTGTTTTTATTCTAATTCTATTCTACGACTATGTATTTGAACATTATTTCAAAAATGACTTGAGAGGATATATTGGTTACCACCAACTGACATCTTAACGTCATCTCCATCTTCGTCTAACATTATTGATCTAAGACGTGGCCAACTTTATTTAATTAAAATATAAAACGTTTTTATAAATGCAGTATGAATTTCAACACATTGTTGCATTGAAAGCAGTATGTAAATGTTGCACTTTGTATTTTTGTGCTGCTGTCTCCTCGTTCTTGGTTTCCTTTGGGTTTTGCCGTTGCCCTTATCTTTGTTTGTGTCTCCAACTGCAACATTCTCATCAATTTTCTTTCTTCTGCCATTTAAATTGGATATAATCTCAGTGTTATGGGGAGCGGGTTGGGCGCAGAGGTGAAGAGAATGAATTCTATTCGACAGTTGCGCATCGCAAACAACTTTTGTCCTTGATTGGCATTTCGATAATGCCAGTGAAAATAGACAAAGCGAAAAGCAAATGCGAAACTGCAGTCAAAGGTGCGCCAAACGATTCGCATTTGCATATTTGATGCAGTTGAATGACTTTCGAAAGGCAAAACTTTAATACCATCATCAGTGCCAGAGAGCTCAACTCGCTAATAGATAAAGTTATGAAAATATCCCCTTATCTGAAAGGGCACCTGTTTAGACAGTCACCTTTCAGCTTTTATGTTCTTACAGTCATAAAAAATGAACTGAATAGCATAAAATAAAGTTACGCCCAAAAAACAAAAAACAAAACAGAATTTCTTCAAGTAATAAGAAACTTCGATATTCCTTTAGACTATGTGTAAACACTTCAAGTGTAAACGATTTTTTGGATGTTGTTTTTTAAAGATTTAATACATCTTAGAGCGAAAATTGGAAACTAAATTGATTAATTAGCTTAGGATTAATCTGTGCAATCAGCGAATCTATATCAGGTCTCAGGATCTATACAATTAGATGGGAAAATCAAAATGAATTATAATTATTTAAGAAAGTTAATACTCACTCTATAAAAAATATTGGGTAAGGCGTATCTGACATGTGAACATGCTCTATCAAGCTGTCGCCCCGTGTGTGATGTGTGTGTGATGTGTGTATGCTGCTGTGATTTGACAAAGCGCCTTAGCCCGGTACCTACTTATGTAGGTATCTTGTCTCTGGTAGGCAGCTCGCCTGTCTGTCACAATTGAGCCACAGGACAGTTGTGTCTGTTGGGGTCCCAAAAACAAATCTCGTACTTTGTGTCTTTTGTAAGGCAAAGGCAAAATAAATCAATCAAATGACAAATATGCTTAGACAATTGCCAGGCCAAGGCGCTCAGCTCAGTCCACAGCTTGTGTCCTAATTTCATTGCCTGACTGCTGCTGCAGCAGCCGTAAAGTTGACGCTGTGGTCGCAAACAGCACACACAACACACACAACACACACAACAATACACACGCATATACAAATACAAACTTGCGTTGTCTTAGCCAAGCCACACTCGTAGTTTGTTGCTGTTTCCTTTTGTGGTTGCTGCTTGTCACATTTTATAGGCCGCATATGTTGCGACCATTTTTCTTCTGCAAGAAAATAGTTGTTGCTGCTGTTGTTTGATTGCGGTGTGGCACGTTCACTTTGGCTTACAGTTAATTTTGAGTGAAATTCAATTTATCACTGTGCGGCCCATAAATCCGTATTTCGTTGCCACTTTTGCTTCTAACGAGCTGAGCATCCTGAGCATGCAAGCCAAATGAGATTTATACGAACGATTCTTTTGTCGCATTCCATTTGTTTGCTACATCCAGACAAAATGCTAGCAATTTGTACAATCAGCAAGCAAGACTGAAAGCATCACCAGAAATGACTATTCAAAATGAGGGTCACCGTGACGTATGTGCAATGCTTTCAATGACCTCAACACTGCACTGCATGTATTTGTATGTACAGTGTATGACTTTGTGTTTGTGCTATAAAGTTTTTCAGGGACTGCTATTGACATTTATCGCCTGGCAGCTTGGATTTAATGACTGTTAAGTTGTTTATAACTAAATGCACGCCTTAACGCTCACATACAAACCTTGGACACCTTGGCAGGCAGCCAAATATCCAGACAGCAAATATACCCTGTAAATAGCATATATTCTTTTTATTTTTATATTTATTTTTGTTTTATTGCGTTTTTTGTACAAAAGTTCAAATTCACCTTCAGCCAAGCAGCTTTCTGCTGCATATCTACAGAGCAGATACGGATGAAAGTACAGCTGCGCTCTTGTGACAACCACAACAACAGCATGAGCGAAAAATATAACGAAACTTTTCAACTTTTGGAATATTTTCGCTCTGTGAAGTTCACAATTTTATCATGTACGTTCATTGCTCTTTTAGGTCTCTGAACCATTCGGTGTGTGTATGGGTGTGTGTGTGTGTGTGTGTGTGTGTGTGTGTGTGTGCATGCGGTCGTTGACAATAGCAATTTGGCCGTGGCTTTGATCAAAGTTTTTTTTTTTGCATTGGCTTCGTTAAATTGAATTGAACTTGTATGGAACGGCGACCAGAACTGAACTAAATTTTTAAAAGTTGCACATAGATGAATAATCTAATTTCAATTTTTGCTTTCTTATTTTCTTCGATTTATTGTGGCTTATACATACTCAAGGTTGATTTTCAGATCAATTCAAATCGAATGATATTGAATTTATATTTGTTTTGTGCCAATTTTTAAATAAAATTAACATTTTAAATTCTTAAAGCATTTACATATTTTAATCTTAATTTAATAATAATTTAATAATTTGGATAAGTTGTTATTATATGTGCCTGTTAGCTATATATGGCACAATAGTTGGGCATACGAGATAAAAACAGTAAAGATATTTTTAAGAATATATTTACATGCTAAAATTTGAGTGGCGAATTGTATTATTTAGTGCTGAAGCACAAATAAATCATTTTTTGGGTTATATCATAGTCATAAAAATGTACCCTAATCAATTTTTTTACTTCACATCACTAAGTAAACAACACAATGTATTATATGCTTAGTGATGACTAAGTAAACAACACAATGTATTATATGCTTAGTGATGATATTTATCATCATAATGCCAGGGTTTAAAAAACGCGTAAATTGTTTGCAAAGTGAGAGTAAAAAATACTTTTTATGTTGCCTACTTATTTGGTCAGCCAACGCTGATGCATGTATCTATAGGATGCAATATCTTTGCTTCGTTTTAGGGCGCATTGAGTGCCAAGCTGATTTTTGGCTCTATGGAGCCATCAAAATTGTCAAGTGCATGTCTTTGTCTAGGCTTTTCACTCTCTTCTCTACTCTGTGCCACTTCTCCTCTCTCTTTCCTTTGTTTCGCATGTGTATCTTATCCTCACTATATTCTGCTGTGCAAATGCCATAATTGAGCTTAGGGGTCTTATGGCAGCTGCATCATTGATTTGACCACCCCCAGCTTCAGACTCTCGTTTCGAGCTCTGTTCACAAACGTCAAAGTTTGTTCAAAGTTTTTGTCTTTTTTTTAAATGTTTTTTAGTGGTTGTTCTTGGTGTTGATATTGCACGCCCGTTGCGCTTGTTGTTGTCAGCTTTGTCCGGAGAACTTCAGCAGCAGACATAGCTGTTGGAAAAGTTTTTCAAGCTCGTTTTAAAAGACGGCATCTCTGTCGCTGATTTTGCGCATGTATAATTAGTTTTATTTACCACCTGGCACACAAATTTTAATTAGAATTTGCGACTAACAGGCCATATCAGCTGACACGGACTGCCTCTACTGTCCAGCAGAAGCGTGCTGCTTGCCACGAACTGTAATCCATACCCGACTCCTCACACTCACCTGAGGCAATAACGGGAGGAGTGTTAGAGCCGCAGACAGTTTGATTGCCATAGCTTAGCTAAGGATACGTTATGGTTGGGTTGGCTTGGATTGGAGTGGCTTGGATTGGAGTGGCTTTGATTGGATTGGGTTTAGTTTATTTAAGTAATTTGAGCATTTCAATTATAAAAGCAATCTGCCTACCTTGTTTGTTAGAACACTTTCGTTTACATTGTTGGCGCTATTATCTTACCAATTTGATAGCCCATCGACGCCACAGCACTTAAACTGCAATGGTGCAACCTTCAATTGAAATTCACACGCGCCCACAGTGTGTTGAGGTACTTGGCGAACTTTAAAACTTGTCAACACTAACGCCGAGTGGAAACATGGCTAACGGCTGTATTTTAATTGTCATTGCACGTTGCACCTAACGACCTGACGATTATGTTATTGCGTATACGCCGTGACTGCCGGCCACGTTAGTCGCCTGTCGCACAAAACTATGCAACACACAAAAAGCATGAGCCAAAGTTAGTGAGAAGAGTTATGAACGTTGCATCCGAAAATCAACGACTGCTAAATGCTCTTTCAGCTTTATAATTAAGGGAAAATCAGTTTCTTCTTGACGAGGTTAATGACTCTATGACTG